GACGAGTGATCGAGTATGCGATGAAATACATCGTCCTTTCCATTTCTGCAAAATCAGAATACTTAGGCTTACTTCGTTTATGCGACAGTGGTAAATAAGAAGCCAAAAACGGTGTTACGGATGAATTTCTATCATGTGTTCAATTTAAGCAGACATACATGAGAGAATGTAAAGCGTTCAAGCAAAGCGAAGTGAATTGATGAAGGTGAGTGAGCTCAATCTATTGTACCGGAGCGATGACTAAGTAATTTATATTACAGGGGTTGTGAATATTGTTAAGTTACACATTTTTGAAACCATGAATCGATCAATGTTAGACTCACACAATTAGAAACCTGGAAGCACTGAAAGACAGCCGTTTCGTCCTGGTATGGGACTCCTCAGCAGTGCGCATCCACGACTCCTACATCCCGCAGGTTTCGAACCCAAGACCTTCAGTATTGCGCGCGGACGCCCTAACCGTTAGACCACTGAGCCGGTATTTAACGGTGTTAATGTCTAACTTGATCAATTCACGGAGTTGCGCAACCTCATACACAGTCTTCGGTAGTGGTTACTGTCTACACCCGAACAGGTTGAACTTCACTGGTCACGTCTTCCCACTAGAACTCGGAGAAGATTCCTCACGAAGCTAGTCACTAGTGAGCACAGGTGGTCTAACATTGATCGATTCATGGTTTCAAAAATGTGTAAGTATTTATAGTCAGGCAAAAATAAGCTAAATATGTGATAAGCGAGTAAGCATGCACACATACACACACGCACACACACAGTCAAATCTACCAAAATCGATAATGTTATGGAATTATTATTACAAATGCTGGTCGAATAATTTCAACAACTCATCCATCATTCAAGTTAGGCATAATGATGATGAGATGTTAAAACAATAGCTCCCTACCCCACCAACCAACCAACAAGCATACAAAGACACAATTAAGTCGCAAAATATCAAAATTTACGAGATATTAAAATGTAAGGTAAAAACTGTCTTGTAAGTACTTAACAAGTATTGACTTGAATACCCTGAACATGAGTGTTTTTTATTTGAGAGACTAACTCTACACTTTATGTTCTGATTTGTAGTAGTGTGAAAATTACAGTAATCAAAGGAATGTTCAAAAGTAATGAATGTGGCGTGCAATTATATGGGCGTGAATAAATAAGAGGAGTTTTAATGAATGTTTAGACATTAAAGCAAGGCTTATTGATGGAGCAAATGGCTTTAGAAAAATATGATGGAAGTTCTGTGGAGATCACTGTTGAAAATATTAGAGAACAATGATTGTTGTATACAAATGCTATAAATGAGTATAAGTTGTTATCAATGAGTGTATGACTGCAAACTTATGTTTATTAAAACGTTACAAACCATTGCCAGCGTTCGGATAGTCGAAAACATGCTATTATCAGCATGCAGGAGGTTCGATTGACTGCTTAGATTGATGTTTCATGTGCATACGATTCTCGCCATACCACCAATTTACTTAACAGGTTGCAAGATGTTCGAGTTAAAAGCAGCTGATCAGTACTTCAAAAATATCTACCATGAGTTCTAGTGAGAAAACGTGACCAATGGAGTTCAACCCTGTTCGGGTGAAGGCAGTAACTACCAAAGACAATTAGGGGTGAGGTCGCACAAAATCTGTAGATTGATCAGAGTTAGATATTAACACCGTTGGATGCCGGTTGACCCAGTGGTCCATAGGTTAGGCGATCGCGCTCAAGACCGAAGGTGGTGGGTTCGGATCTTGCGAGGCACAGGAGTTGATGCGTAGTGCGAAACGATCGTCCACTGTTTCCAGGTTTCCAATATCAGTAAATCAACAATTTTTTTGAATGTCATTTTGAAGTTTCTAATTATTCGGATGACATAGAGTGGTGAAATAGTCAAGTGACCAGTTACACATCAGTGGCAATCATCACAAATACACACACAATGAATGCTAACATGAATCATATTATTAAAGATGTTATCTTTTTGAATTATTTAAGAAACATCGTTCATTTCAAACACAATGAATGAATTCAGACTGATTATTCACTGAGTGTTATTCTATGTTACAATAACTGTCCTTTAGTTTGGATCGAATTGTATCAGTCAAATCGACTAAGATATGTTAGTCCACTTGATATTATAGAATCTTCCTTAAGATCTTCTTTCTTTTGAGTATGTTGATAAAGTGGCCTTCTTCTAAGGCTGTTGGTATTTGTTCTTCTTCATAAATCTTGCTGAACGGGAGTATGAAGTATTTTTGGTAGCTAAGGTTATGTCTGCTTTCAGTGCCTTTGTTGGTATATTCTTGTGTGATTGTGTTGCCTTATCGCTCTTGATTTGTCTGAAAGCTATGCTGATATTGTAGCGTTTCCAGCCACTCCTAACTGTATTGACATCACTATTTATTTAGTTAAGTAGTGTGGTGCCGAGCTACTTATAAAGTAGTATATGACGTGAGTGTCAGTCAACGTAATGTCTGGCAGCAGAAGATGGGGGAAGATCAAGAAAGGAAGAGTTAGAACACAATGGAATTTGTATGAAACACATGAATAGTGACAATGGATTGATGTTGTTTGCTACAGGAACAGTCTGGTTCGATATGATGAACTGATATTTTGCAAATGAACGATTTTCGATATGGTTTTCCGATTTTACTGAGTGAGTAACTCTGTAATTTTCGTTAAATACAATCCGGTTGCCCCACCTGTGTTCTCCTTCACTACAGTAGTAGTAGTAGTGCGAGTAGTAGTAGTAGTAGTAGCAGTAGTAGTAGTATATTAGGAAACAACTATCACATTTGAGTAAATAACTCACCAACAACATTCACTCTCAGCGAATGAATATGATTGTACTTTTTATGAAATGTGAACACATTGTATTCATTCTTCTTCTATGTCGGTAAATATGTATCTGAATCATTCCTCAAGAGTTTCAAAATCTATAATTAAAACCTGTTATTTCATCAGTGAATCAGTTGAATCAAGACTACATTACTTGTCAATTTAAAAACACGATAACTAGTTAACGTATACTTTTCTTATATTTTGTAACTGCCTGCAACTGATAAATGACAATGGAGTGAAACCAATATTTACAACAGTTATTACATAATGAGCTACTTCAAGTGATTACGGCAAAGCCCGAAGTCACTCCTCTGTCACATTATGAGTTCATTGATAACAACAATGAATTTTAATCCTATCGGAATATCGGTAAATTATTCAGTTATATAACTTTATATTCTGATTTAATAATGATTTCACAAGGTTATATATATCCAAGATAATCAATCGATAAAGCATAGTTCTACCAAACTGATTATTTGGTCTCTAGTTTTTTTTTACAGTTTATCAATTATATCCACAGAAAATGATAAGAATGGCTGAAAAGTTCTCTTCTAACTATTATTTACTTACTTACTTTCGCCTGTCACCTCTAATGAAGCATAGGCCGTCGACTAGCATTCTCTAACCTACTCTCTCCTGAGCTTCCCTTTCCTGTTCTATCCAATTTTTGTTTATTCTTCTCATGTCTGTCTCTAATTCTCTACATATCATGTTGCTTGGTTTTCCTGTTTTCGTTTGGTCTTGAGCATTCTAAGTCGGCACTTGTTTAGTGATATAGTTTTAAAGGATTTTCACAATGTGTACCCTATCCGCCAATTC